TTTCTGTGCATTGAACTTGCAACACTGACCATATATACATTTATATTTCAGCCTCGGTGTGTTCAGCTTATTCTACCCTCCATGGCATGTGCCATTCAACTTCTTCGTGTTTCCTATGTACACTATATATGTACACACTAGTTACCTGTTCATTCTCCAAAGTTGCATATTGTGGTTACTGGTCCAGAAGTATCTCATGCTTGATCTATAAAACATGGTTGTTGGCTATCTGCTAACCTAATACTAACACATTTCTTGTAGCCCATAATCTCCCATGGACAGGAGTTCATTTTTGCAGAGACAAGAAGCATTTTGCCTAAAGCGACAGGTATATTTGTGCATAACAATACTCATGGTTGCAAAGGAGGAAAAACAATCTAAGCATTGAAGTCAGGGAAAAAATTAAATGTAAAACTGACAGATCTTGATAATGACAGTAAGGCTGAGCAGAGCAATCCCATCAGCAGAGGTAGCAGGTGGGGAGAGATCCTAAGTCAGGGGACCTGCCTTAATGAAATCCATGCCAAGTTCACACCAGCAGGGTAGAAGAAAAGGAGGCTCTGCACCCCCTTGTCCAGGTTTTCGGGTCTTCCCTTAAACAATTTGTCTAATTGGCTTTCGTGGGAGGGAAATGAATTCTGCCAGCTCCAAGTTTCAGCTTCTCTTCCATTTCCCATCTCAGGGTTATGTCAGGGGCCTCCTGTTTGTGCTCCCCAATGCTGGAATTCTAATTTGGAGTAGCCTTGGCTGCAGTCCTTTCTGGAACCTCCTGGAGGACGTGCCTGAGATCGGTTCTCCATCTCTGTGGGTGGATCTCTCTGTCTCTCTCTGTCCTCAGAGGGGGAATCCAGAAAAAAACCTTTGCCTCTTAGAATGCTCTTGGAGGGCCCATAGAATTGCATACAGATGCATGCAAAATTATTATAGTGACCATTTAGGAAGCAGTGGTGTACTTGTGAACATAGAGTTCCTGGAACTGTGCACCGCAGGTGATAAGACTCGTACTTCTTCATTGAGTTTTCATTCCATCGTTTCATGATCACCACCAGGATCTCCTTAAATATCTTCAAGAAAACCAAAACTGCCACTTCAGCACATTGTCCTGCACCAAGTTCAGAGCAAAAATTACAGTCTTGACATATGTCAACCTCCTTAACTGCTCAGGGTCACTCAGATAAAATTATTTTATTCCAGGTTCAAACCTTGATTTGGTCTAAATACACCCTGTGGCTCTGTGCTCACAATGGCCTTTTCTGGTCCCCGCCTTGTCCTTTCAAGATAAAGAGAAAGCATCTTGTCTTCAGTGGCACCGTAACCTCCTTCCGGTCTGGCTGAGCAAACAAAGAGGTGGTTAAAGTGCTATCCAGTTAAACCAGTCTGGGCTGTGGGATTTTGCGGACATCCCCTATGCATCATCTTTTTGCACCCTGAGGTTGCTCGTAAAGCTTTTTTTTAATGGCAGGGCCCTCTTTCCACATAATCCTGTTTTAGAACTGCTTCTATTTGTATATTGTGGCTTGATGTCATAATGTGTGTTTTTAGTGCAGGGCTTGCTATCTTCACCCCTTGTGCTAACAAAGGGTCATGCCAATGTAAACCAGCCTGATCAAAGAAAACCATACTTGCGGTGTAGGAGGACAGACAGTTCTGCATTTTGCTCTTCTGGAGAGCCCATGCACCCACTTAACATTTTTTTTCAGAATGTTAAATGAAACTGGAGTTGATGTAAGCTGATGCTACATGTTAAGGCAGGGTGGAGGGAACCTGGTGGCTCAGAATGACTGGAGGTTGGCTTGTTTTGGTGCTCTTGCGCGTTACTTGAACACCTCTCTTCACAGGTAAATACAGCAAATATAGCATTTTGGCTAGGTTCAAACCCTGCGCTTGTTTTCCATGGACAGCTGAGTGTTTGGTACAGAGATGCACTCAACCATGCAAACTGTCCCACCCCAAACCTTTTAAATTGCTGCAAACCCAGGGAAAGGAGCTGTTTTATTTTTCTGTTGTGACGTGGCCCAGAATAAACATTCAGTGTTCTTAGGAAAGCCTGAACTAGGGACTTGCTTAATAATCTAGTATTTTGCATGTGACCCACTGAAACTCCCAAAAATTGCTCCACTGGTGCAAAAGACTGTGCAACATCCTTCTGAATTCTTGCACCCCTGGAATCCTATTTAAGGACTTACAAGTTAATGTTGCAATTTGCTTGCATTTCAAACGGGCTCTAACTGTAAATGTGTCTGCCATAAGAGACTTCGGAACTCAGAAAAGTAAATAGTGTGCTATTAAGTCAATTGGCTTTTATTGACAGTAATCACTATGGTTGTATTGAATGGTGTGGTTTACAGTCATTTCAATTGCCTTGAAATCTTACATTTAAATGGTTTAGTACTTCCCACCCTCTGTTTAAAGTACACATGGGGTCATGCTGAAGAAAGAGCAAGCTATTATAGTAGGAAGTGCATTGTATACCTATTTTTACCTGTGGGCAGAGTTAACTTCCCTGTAATAGCTTACAGCAAACTTCACATTGATTTCAGTGCTGTGCTATGGTAGAATTTGATGTGGGTTGACCATGGAGCATAGAGTAACATACAGATCTGAACATGTTCTAATCTTAGGCAATTCTGTAATCTAGAATGCTATTGGCACCTACTCCTGTGCCGCCAAACACATCATAGCCATGATGACATTTGTAATTTTTTTGTGTGCACAGTCAAGTAGGCCTCATTAGATGCTTAGTTGGTGAAATAGGCTGCTAGAGGAAATCTAGTATCAAATAAGGTGAGGGGAAGCAGATATATTTCCCAAGAAAGTTAACAGAACAATGAAAGTGTTGATATAGAAAGAGTGAATCAATTTCCTTTAGCAGACTGTTCTTGTTTGGGTGGGGAGCGCATGGAAAAATTAGCTTGGTGAGAAATACAACTGGAGGAGGATAGGGCTTCCAGAGGCTGAATTCACACATAAAACTGAACCATGATTTAGTGTAAGGGGGTATTTAGCATGTGGCTCAACATATAAGACTGTAGTGGGCTCTGGGCTTATGTGGGACCCTCTCCTCCTCCAGTGTGTCTCCAAAGAGGAGAGGAAACAATAACTTTTTGTGAACTCTAAACCAGGAAAGTCTTAACCAAGGCAACTGGGAATAAGCCACGTTCAAACTACACTTGACATAGCTGGCATGTCTTACTAACCATGGTTAAGATTAACTACAGTTTGGGTTTTGAACTTAATGCCAAACTGTGGTAATTCTTTAAAAGGAAGCAGAAGCTTCCAAACTTCTGGATAAGAAGACGTTCAAGGAATGCATCGAGTCTAAGACCAAGTTCAGACAATCCACTGTGGCTTGTGATGGGTTATTTAACCCTAAAACAGACCAGGGGTTCTGTGCGAATTGTTTAGCTCTTGGATAATCCATGTTCAGTGAGTTTGCATGATATGGCAAATCTTAAGCAGGGGTTGCTTATTCAAACTGGCAACCACATGCACTGCAGTCCTTCCTGGGGGTGAAATAGCTTATGGTGGGATGTCATGTCATGCAAATGGCCACTCAGACTTGTGGCTCATCATTGTAATGCTCATGGGACAGCATTATGTCCAGCATCACTGAGTGACATAAAGTGGTCTAATATCATAGAAGAATATAGTCTGAAGGCACATAAGGTATCCACCATTCCATGGGACTGGCCTGAGTTTGGAGGGGAAACCACCTGGGAACCTCATGTAGCCACTTTGAGTTCCACAGTGGGAGAATGATGGGATATATAGGAATGAAGTCTGTCCCAGTCTGAAGCATCCACTGCCTGGCACCTGTGAGATGTCTTATGAACACAACAATATCATCTTTATTATGGTCAGAGACCAGACCAAAATAAAACATTAAAAGACAATACAGAAATATTAGGAGAATATTGGCAAATATTAGCCATTGGTTAGAAGGTTACATAACAGTGCCAATAACCCATAACTCCCCTGAGTCAGTACTAAGTTGTATGCTGTATACAATGTCCCCATTCCAAAATGTACTATTTTAATGCTAATATTCGACCAGTATACTGATTCCTGCAGGCTGATTTGTTTTGTGGACAACAGCCACCAGGCAGCTCACGGGTTGTTCTAGAGGTAATTGTATCCGGGATGGGTCGTCATGTCACCCAGTTGTTAATGGCTGACAAAAGCTATCAAGCCAGCTTTCATGATTTCCAGGGGAGGAGGGGAGTTAAAGGGACTAAAAAGCAGCAATGGGCCAAAAATGGCTCACAGTTGTAGCAGGGAAAGAGAGACAAGTCAGTCCTGTAGCAGTATTCCTTCGGCAAATGCGCCCTGCATGTTAGTATAATTGGCTTCTGGCTCAGGTTTAGTTAATATCAGTAATTTTATTTACCTGAATAAAGGTTACATGCCCAAAGCTAGTGGATATGCAATACTTGCACTCAAATGAAAAACTGCTAATCCTAAACGTGAAACCATTTTTCTCCACCACATTCTTGCAATCCTAGATTCCCTTTTTTCTGGTATCAGATAATTTTTGTAGTTACTGTTTTTATTATATTTCTGTGCTTCCCATTAGCCCAAACTTTCTGAGTGGTTTACAAGAAAAACCTTCAAACCATAAAATACAGTAACATAATAAAACATAATATAAAACATGAGTTTAAAAAAGAATCAAATCATCTTCTCCTATGCAGGCTTTTGACGTTGAGTTCTCATTGTCTAGCTTCCCTCAGACATGATGCATGAGAATATTTTTTCAACCCAATGAAAGCTAGGATTCTGTGACAGGAGCAAGGAAGTCACACAACACATTAGAAAAGCCCTGCTGGATCTGGCCAGTCATTCATCTTGGTCAGTGTGCCGTTCACATAGTGAAGCACGGTGCCCAAGCGCTTCCAGGGCTCCCTGTAGGGACCTTTCACCTTGGCCCTCCTTTGCCAGAAAATACCAGACTGTGATTGTTCCTGTCCAGCAACTGATCAACCTTTCCCTTTCCCTTCCAGGCTACGGTAACTTGAGTCCCTCCACAGTGGCCTCACAGGTCTTATGCATCTTCTTTGCCCTCTTTGGGATCCCTTTAAACCTTGTCGTCCTGAACAGGATCGGACAGCTGATGCTCTCTGGTGTTCACGCGTGTGCCTTCCACCTGAGTGAGAAATTCCATTGGCAGGTAAGCATTGTGGGCGCTTTATGTGTCCCTGTGGCCAGTGTGGGTGAGTTGTCTGGTAAATGCCCTGATACTGCAATGAAGCTGTGTCTGGCGTGGTAGATGAGCTTATGACTATGTTGCATAACTCCTCTTGGTGCAGTGCAGCCATCAGGATCAAGGCATCAGTGCTTGCACCTCTCCATGTTGAAAGGTGAAATTCTATGCATGTTCGGACAGAAAAGAAGTTCTGCAGCTCCCAGCATGCCCCAACCACCCACGCAGACTGGAGCATTCTGGGAGTTGTAGGTCATTTTTCTATCTAAAATCACATAAGATTGCATTCTCAGTAGCCTGCTGAAGCAGTACTCCAGAATTCTGAGCATGTTTAAGAGTAAGTAACAAGTCTGCTTGAATTTCGTGAGGTTGATTTCCTAGTAATTTAAATCATAGCCTAGGAACAGTTCTGAATTGTGGCTCAAAGCAGCACCAAAGAAAGTACTCATAAAAACAAAGTGCAGACTTGTTACAGGGTTCTCAGATAAGTACCACTGACATCTCCCTGGCTTTCTTTGCTAGCATTCTGGTACTATAGTTTATGGGGGGGGGATTCAATTCTAGTTCCTGCCTTTCCTCTCAGTAGCTTAAGAAACCCCCAGCCCCACATTATCTCTTTCCCCTCTTCATTGTAGGTGTCATAATAGGTCCATCCCATCCCATTCCATGTCCTGTGGACAAATAACCCTTTTAATCTACATCAGATTTTTATGTTACTTATCACACAACTGACATTACAGGAACATTAAAATATTACTAATGCTAGTTCAACTTAATAATAGTTCTACAGTACTAATAATGTCATATATTACTACTAGTACTTACTAGTACAGTATAAATAACATGCTCTTGCTCCTTTTATTTTCAGTGTTCAGTGATAAATGCTGTTGTTTATAGCTGAAGCAGCATTATCTGCACAAAAGAGGGATGTGGCAGCAGGCTCAAAGAAACCCTAAAATTAAGTAAGAGAAGTAAACAAAAAGGAGGGAGAAAAAAAATTGAAGGGGAAGTGCTACAAGAACCCAGTGATGCCTGAACGTGCTTAACAGTCACAGAAGGCTGGCTGTTTCTGGAAGAGAAATAGTAGAGAGCCAGGAAGGAAGTGGAGAAGAATGCAGAAACTCGAACAGGAGTGCTCCATGATGCAACTTGTCACTCCTAATCTGCTTTTGTTTTAATTCTCTGTTGTTGTGATAGTATGAGATTGCTTGCATGTAACAACACCAATTTGTGCGTAAATTAATTAACCTTTAGTCACATGCTGGTTCACATGTCTTGTGCTGTTGCTGCTTTGCATAATCAACCTCCAGTCAACCCCACTGGAAGCTGGCTTGTGACATGTGAGCCTTGACTGCTGGCCTTGTTTGCATGCAGTGGCAGCAAATTGTGGGTTAATTTATTGATCTGCATGCTGTGCATATTCTGCTGTCTCTTTAAATATCTTACCTCCAATTGATCTGATCATAGATCGGCTCATAATGGATGAACCCAGAGGCTATGGATTATTTGCGGGTTGAACTTTCAGTTAAACAACCCAAAGTTAACTTAGGAACTAATTGTGGGTTAACTTTCTGTTAACCCATGTATAACTCAGGGTACCTGGGTTCTCATAACACTGAACAACCTACGAAAAGGCTAGTAGGAGGACGCATTTTTAAAGAGACTGTAGCATGTGTGTAGCATGTAACCTGACAAAATTGAACCTTAATTAACCAAAGATGTGCTGCCATTATGTGCAGTCTATAGATTATTTTATGGGTTAAACAACTCATAATTAGCATTTGATTAGTTCTAAAGATAACTGTAGGCTGCTTGACCCACAAATAACCTATAGTGTCTGAGTTTTCATGTTACAAGCAACTTCCAAATCTCTATGCCCCAGACATACAGTCTAGCAGAGTGTAGGTTAATTGAACCATGATTTGCTGCTGTTACATACAAACAGGACCCCACACATAAGCACTGAAAAATATTCAGTATTTTCTGCTAGGTCAGCTGTAAGCTTGGTTTATCAAAATCCATTCATCCTATTAAAATAAACATTTAAAAGAAATGATAGAGTTGTGGTGCACAGTTTTGAACTGTTGAAAGTTTTGAGGTTTAGATTATTTTGTCCCTGGATGTCTTTTTGTGCAAATGTGGATTCTGATATGACAAGGAATGTTCTGTATGATGATCACGACTTTCAAAAAATGTTCAAGGTTTCTGTGACACAGAAGCAGAACTAAAACCCTAAATTTTCCCTCCTGGAACTTTCCCTATGTGGCATCTTTCATTGTCCCCCTGCTAGAGGGACCTCCTGCTAACAAAACAAGAAGCTTTGAAGTCTCTGAAATAATCAGAAACACATAGAAATGTTCATCTGTGCTGTGAGGCAGGTCAGCAGAACTTGCCTGCCCTGTTCTGGAAACAAGCATTCCTGTTAGTTTCTGGGATTGCTCATGGAAGCACTGGTTCCTGTTGCACCAGCTATGGCACAGCAGACTGGGCAGAGGTGCAGTATCTGTATTGGGCAATGCCCTAGAATATCTCAGAGCAGCCCTCCTAGTGTCTCTTCCACTTGGTACCACATGGTCCTCATAAGGATGTATCTCAGTCTCTTTCCACTGGGGGAAAATACAACTTTTCTTTCCAGTTAGTTATAAAACACTTCTGCTGCAATCTATTTCTCCCCTACTGTTGTTTGCCAGTTCCTGTAAAAGATATGGATGCCTTCTCAGGTATCTGTCATCAAGTTACTATATTGCTGGTGCAGAATTCAGAAGTACACAGTTTCTTTACTTACTCATACCAAGCAAAATGCAATTATCTGGGTGATTTGGAGAATTCCCCTTTTCAAGAATTCCCCTTTTCAAGACAAGCACGCCTGGGACATTTTGTTCAGCAAAGAAAAAAATGGAGTAAGGTGATTCTAAGCAGGTATAAGTCACAGCTTTCATTCAAAAAGCAAACCTTGGGCAAAAATATTTTAGGAAGTCCAAAAGAGAGGCCACTCCAAAACTGGAGTACAAATCAGTGGCTAGAATGCCACTTACTAAACAGTTGTTTGCTCGTTGAAAGTTTGATTTATTACCTGTTGCCTTTTCTCCTCCATGTTCTGTTCATATTATATCTGAATGAGGGCTCACATTCCTCAAGCTATCTACTGGCATCTCCAGCTTGAAGTATCCAGAAAACATGACGCATGTACACAGTCCTGCCCTGCTATCTGAAGGAGGCTAGGATGGAGTAATGTGCGTAGTATTTCTGAAAAATTATGCAACTTTTTCCTTTTCTCCGCTAGGCCTTAACACTGCAACACGTCAGCTTTTACAGACAGGCCCCCAATACAGAACAGGTCGAGGCTCTGATTCTATTCCACTTCCAGTGCCTCCCTTTGGCAGGAACCTGTCAAAGTCCAAAACTTTGTATGCACAAATGCTAAAATCTGCGTTCAAAAAAGACAATGTGTATGTACCTCTTGGTCAAAGATATTTTCTTAGTAGCGTGAAAAACAGGGATTCCTAAGGCTGAAAATCATATTAAAAATAGATTCCAGAAAGGTCCACTTACCTAGAAGAGGGGCAGAACAACAGAAGCCACAGTTGTGTACCATGCCCACTTCTCTATATTAAAAGGGGGAGGGGGAATACAGTATAGCAATTGTAAATGAAAACTAGGGAACATCAAAACCATCTGTGCTAAAATTGATAGTGCTGTCTCCTTTAATTTGTGAGAACCTTATTTCAATCCCCCTTTTGTGGCCATTTCTTCTCATTAGTCATGTATCTTTTAAATTAGACTTGAGTAGCACTGAATTTTCCTGGAAGATCCAGGATCACGTTTAAGCCAAGCCATGTACTACTGGGAGGAATACGATCCTGTTTCTCATCTGTAAACTGAGGTCCCTGAATCAGAAGGTGGCCAGTCTAGTCCAGCCCTACAGAATTGCAAGGGATCAAAAGCAGGCAACAGATCCATTGGCCCTCCTCCAGAAACCAGCCCATGGAGCCCAAGTGACAGGGATGCCTTATGAGCCAGGATCAGACCCATTAGGGCAAGGTGCTTACAGAACCAAAAAACCTGGGATGACTTGTGTGAATGGGAGGTGTGCTGAAGTCCCTATTTCCTGGGCACTGAAAGGGCCATCAAAGCTGGCCCGTTCCATCCTACCCCAGTTGTCTTTGGTTTTAACACAGGAGGCTATCATTTTTAATGGTTTTTTCTAACATGCAAGAGCGCTAGCAATGTATGTGTTAAAAATGTGAGCTGAGAGCCTCCGGGAAGCTAAGAGGAAATCAGATGTTGTACAAATACTTCAGACAGAAAACTATCTGTGCTGCACTCCACAGCCACTTCCAATTATTGTTGGTGATTTCTTCATGGTTAGGGGTTAATGCTGAACTGATGCCTTAAGTATCCAGGATTCTCTGATTCCATGATTCTATGATTCTGGATTTTCCATTGCAATCCTTCTCTCTTTAAACTAGGAGTGGGAAACTGTGGGAGGTAGGGGTCATTTTTGTTCTTCACAAATACTGAAACAAATAAAATAAATTTCTAATGGCACCCATTCTTAAATGGTACCCTTTCTTTTAAATTTAAAATGGATTTAGAACAAACTAATGTTTATACTTATGGTGTTTTATAGGCCTTACAGACAGTTGATTTTCAGGGAAAATATTTTGTAGATTTCAGTGCTTAATTTGGGACCACATGCTGTCCACCCTTGCTTTAAACTGTAATTTCTCTTTAGCCTGGTTGCTTTAAAGCAAGGTGGATGGAGTGTGAATCATGGGTTCCCACTGAATCTTGAGCTGTCATTACATGCAAGCCCTGTACTATGATTTATCTATGGGTTTTTAACCATGAACAACCCAGAAAGATAACCCATGGATTGCTGTTGAGTTGTGAACTTTGCATTGTTCATAGTTAACAATCCGTAATTCAATCAGTTTGTATGCAGTGGCACCCCACAATTAAACGACAATCTGGAGATTCTGTAAGAAATAGAGAATTGTCATTTAGTGTCAGTTTACTATCTAGGATCAAACCAATGATTTAAGACCCTGGCTCATAAACCAGCATCAATCCACAATTCCCCATATCAAACATAAACCTCTGTATTCTGTGGCTTTAAGAGACCAAGACTGTAGCACCAAAGCTGGCCTGCAGAGGAAAAGCACATGGGCTTAGCATTCATTTCTGACCCTCATTCCTGCCTTTCAAAATTTTCTACATTTAGAAAATTGGGAGTGTTACATCCAAAAAGACCCACGAACTACAGATGGTACACAGTGAACTTGAGTATAAACCTTTGGACCATGACCATTATGTGATTGCCATTCGTTTAACCAGCAGGAAGAGATCCTTGTTCTACAGAATCGTTCCACACCTGGGACAAACCAGCTGATTGCTGTTTTGTCCCAGATACAAGAGCTGGTGTCCCTCTGGCCTTTTCTGTCAAGCACTGTCTTGTATTTCTCTGTGTTTCACTAGCGAGGGGCAGCTGTCTTGACACGGACCTGTGCGCTGGTCGCTGGCCTTTTGCTGTTTCTTCTGTTACCACCTTTGTTGTTCGTGGCCATAGAAGGCTGGACCTACGAAGAAGGATTCTACTACTCTTTCATCACACTTAGCACAATCGGCTTTGGAGATTATGTCATCGGTAGGTAGTCCAAGCCTATTATACATGGAATGTTTTGGGGCTTGGATAGTCCAAGGCTCTGTGGAATTTGCTGTGTTCACTATACTGTGTATATGTTCTCATTATGGGCAAAAAAGAGGGCTTTCGAGGGTAAGTCTGGTAATGGCAATGGGTTTGAACATTTGTTTCAAGCGTGAGCATTGGCTTTGTCTGCCGTATTCACTGAAGGAGGCAGCCCCACTTGAATGTGAAGGGCCCTTTGCCAAGAGCTTTTGTGCCTGTTTACACAGACCCAGTTTGTGAGAGGAAGGTCTTTGCTTCACTTTCACAAGCAGCTTTATTGCACTTTGCTATGGGCTCTTCCTTGTCAGGGAGGGAAGGTCTTAACTCTTCAGGAGATTTTCCAAAGCAAACACCTCCTTAAGTGTTTTGCAGCAGAAAATGTTTAAAAACCATACCTGCATGATTGGTGTTTCTTGCAAAAGCCCATGTGAGTATATGCACGCATCCACTCAGAGATAATGAACCATAAGCGGTTACAAATTGAGAGAGGTATGCATGCAGGTGCATCACATGGGGCAGCATATTCTTTACACCATTAGCAAGAGGCTCACTGCCACTGAATCCGTTCTTTTCTGGGTGGAAAACAAGGATAACTGCATGGAGTTAAATTGAAGCAAATACTCTAACGAAATATGCAACACTAAGTTTAGGACTGGAATTGGGGTTACATTTGCAATAAGAACCAGGGCAGTTGTGGGTGGATTGGAAGACATGGATTAAATTCTAGCTTGCCAACTGATGTAGTAGCCACTCCTTTGGTCTCATATTATTTGATATAGAAAGAGTACTAAATATGAACAGCTGAACATTGGGAGCTAATGAACAAAACATCATAAATAGCATATATTCTAAAAGATTCGTGGTAATCTGTTATATTCTGTCTAAAGGCAGTTTTCAACATTTGCTCTCACTTTCGCAAGCCTCTTTGTGTACTGTACTCTTCGTGATCTGTACTGTTTTCAGGCAGGAGCCGACTGGGTCCTAGACACTGCCACTGAGGCCGCACAGGGGCCTGCCTGGGACCCCATGGCAGCTGGCTGACCCCATTTCTCTTGGCTCCTTGGGCTGCTCCCTCATCTCAGCCAACTGGCTAATTGCCCCGCATTCCCTTCTCCCTCCCCACCCTTAGCCACTGTCCTGCTAGTCAGCCAGGACTGCTGATTTCCCAGGCCCAAAGCTTCCTGCAGAGCCCAGAGCACTGCAAATGCCCTTGACTACAACAAACAAGACAACACTAGAGAGCCGTGCTGAGCAGCTGCTGCAAAGAGGGAGAAACCGGCCAGTACAGAGAGCTGCACTGACTCTGATTAGGAGCTGCCAGTGGCCCTCAGGCCTTGCAGTGAAGGACCAAGAGCGAGAACCCAGTTCAGGATGGTGCAGATGGGAGCAGGATTGTGCCTTCATGGCCATGACTGTGAAGGGTTGCTTGAAGCCCTTACCTGAACAGTGCCCCTAATCACATCCCATGTCTGTGGGTGGCTGTGGTTTGTTCCAGCAGAAGGAAGACAGTGGTAAATCCATCCTGTTGCAATGATGGAAGCATTTGCACCGCCCCCGCCCCCCCCCCCCCCAGCAGCGTGTGTTGCCCTCCATGCATAGACAGGGATATTTCAAGGGGAAGACGGAGCACTCAGAAAGGCCCCCCCCCCCCGGCTCTCCCCACAAAGTGCATCCTGCTCCTTTTTCATGCTGGATTGTATGGGCATGTGTCTTCACTACAGTTCCCTCATTCATGGTTTATTTGTACTACACATCCTTGGGTGATGAAATCATCATTCAGTGTGTTCTTCCAGTTGGTGTCTGACTTGGGCAGTGCCCTGTCCACTCTCAGATTTTTCCAGACATTGTAAGATTTACACTTTAGTTCTCTCAATCACCAAGGTATCTGTGCAACTACTGAAATCCTGCTTGCTCTGGTTCAGCACTAAATGCTCAATATCAGGCTGCTAATTTATGAATTAAGGGACTGATGCTCTGTACCAATGACTGGCTTGAATCTTGTTTTTCCATAGGCATGAACCCGGAGCGCACTTACCCGGGCTGGTATAAGAATGTGGTGTCTCTGTGGATTCTCTTTGGAATGGCCTGGCTAGCACTGATGATCAATCTTTGCATCAGCTTGCTTGAGAATTCCAGTGGCCTCTGCCAGTGCTGCAAGAAGAGCAAAGAGGTGGAACAGGAATTAATGCACGACAAACAAAATATTAGTTTGAGTATTGAAGATGGCCAGAACTGCAACATAAAAGACACAAAGCCTGCAGGGCCAGACTGACTTGCATATGCATTTTGATCCACTGGCATGGATGTTTTGATTTCACAGGAGAGAACTATCTGACTGGGCAGGCCATCGGCAGAGCTCACGCGTGCGCGCTCGCGCTCTCTCTCTCTCTCTCTCTCTCTCTCTCTCTCTCTCTCTCTCTCTCTCTCTCTCTCGTACTGGCAGAAGTTTGCTAGAGTCAGCACTTAGGTCAGGTGGAGATCCAAGTAGGCTCCTTGGGTTGGCAAGTGTGACACCTTTTCTACCAGAAAATTACTTCCTGGATAGGAGGAATCTGAGAGTATATCCTGTAGAATCAGCAAACCAGTTTATATTGCTGTGAGCACCTGCATCGGAAAACCACATACATCACCATTCTGTTGTCTGGATTTGAAGCTGGCATTGTAGGCAGTTTCCCACCCCGTGCCCTCTATTAAGGGTATTTCTGTATAGGAAAAGTATGAGGGGTGAAGTGGTTCCTGTTTATAAATCAGTGCTAAAAAGGCCACTTGTGTAGTATTGTAACATACTTCACATGGATATTTACTGAACAGAACACAGCGTAGGTCCTGCCCTTGTACATAAAACAGAACACTTGTACTTCTCCAAAGAACACTCGGCCGATGCTGTGATGTATAGATAACACAAAGCATTCCTTGTCCAAGAGCCTGATGAAAGTGTTAGCTGTTGATGAGGATGTTGTTTTAAAACACCCCACATGCACACCTCGGATCCCTATGTGTTGTTGTACTACACCTCTCATCATCCTTCACCAATAACCATACTGCCTGGGGCTTATGGAAATGTTAGTCTAAAAATCCTCTCTAGGTCTAAGGTTGGGAAAGACTAAAAAAAAGATGCATTTAGCACAGGGCACAGCAATTCATTGGATTTGGAGCGAGAAGCAATAGCAGTGCAGCTCAGCCCTGTCAGTGGGCAAGCACTGCATATACTAACAGCGTAATTATGTGTGTGCATGTTTGGATTTGAGCCTTATTGTGTGCAGCGAGCAGTTGCTACAACGTGTATATTACTGATTGCTTTTGTTTCAAGTATTGGTTAGCAGCAGCATCTGGAAAGGGTCACCTACCTGAAGGACAGGTTAGGGATTCCCAATTTGCCCGGGTCGGTGGGCATATTTGGAATGTTGGCACGGTGTGCTAAAGAGAAGTGACTTGCCCAACAACCCAAGCACAAGGCGGGGGGGGGGGGCGGTCTGCACTAACATTCAGGCAGGATGCCCACCCAATACCACACAGACACAGTGACAACAGCAACAAAAACACACCCCGTACAATATATATATAAGTTAATGCACACAGAGACGTGCAAAACCTAAATACAACACATACAACAAACCAAGACAAGGTGTACGCTATGAGAAAACAGAGAAGCTGGCATGTGCCACACAGGCAAAACTATTACTGTATCACTCCCACCAGGGCCAGTATTTCAGGTGAATTGGAAGCAGATAATACAGTCAATCCTGTACAACTTTACTTGGAGGCGAAGTCCTACAGTGTGAAATGAGGCTTATTCCCTAATATATGTGTTTAAAATTGTAGCCTTCTGAATGTTTTAGGGCCTACAAATCCCATCCAGCACAACCACCAGTGAAGGATGATGCAGTCCAACAGCACCTGGAGGTTTGACTGTTTCCATCCATGCAGTAAAGATTCCATCATGGAGAATGCTGTATCCAGAAAATAACATGGGCAGATGTTGGGTGGAAGGTTGGCTTAAGACAGTCTCCGTACTATGGGAAGAAATGTGAGTTGGGCTTGAGCTAGGAGAGACTTCTCCAACTTGGTGCTCCTCAGCTGTGATGGAAGTTTTCCAGCTGATCTGGAGGACACCAGGTTGGCAAAGGCTGGCCTAGTGTATATGTGACTTTGTGATGCTACAGTGAAGGAAGTTATACTGGTGATTCTTGCTCTGCCCAACTGGAACAAGGTGCAGGCCTGGCCTAAGTCAATTCTGCTAATGCATTCTTTAGCTAAATAACTTCCCACCAAAGCAGACCCGTGCCTGTGCATCCTTTTAAGAAAAGTAACATTTGAGTATCTGCTTGAAGAGATTTCCTCTGTTCTGCAGTTTAAGAATATTTGTCATAACTTTACCTTGCCTTCTACAGGCAGTTTGCAGATTTTGGTGTCTGCAATGGGGAGTTAACTGTTTGCAGATGGAGATGTGTGGGAGAGAATCTCCCTTGGTTAACACCTTGTTGACCCATATTGTTATTGAGCAGCAGCTATAACAACACCATGTGAAATCACAGCAGGGAGTTGGGGAACTAACAAGGCAATTTACATGTACTGGAACAAACTGCCTTTCAATTTTGTTTATGGGGCTTTGTTGCTCCAGGCAGGCGCTATCTCTGTTTTACAGGCAATGTAAAATGCTCATTTTCAAAACTCTGGCTTTTGTATTTCACACATTGCTTTTTAGGGTAAGAGATGTGTCCTGTTCTGCCAGGATAAAAAAGTGAGGAAGTATCTTGCAGCCTTAGATAAAGAGAAAAGACAACTCTAAATGAACTTTCAGGGACAAATTAAGAACAACACATTAAATTTATCTCTGCGTATAAACACAGATTTTTTAAAAAATCCAAATAGTGTGGGTTGCCATGGAGCTGATAATTATCAAGATTGTACCAGCCATGGGAAGAGAAATTGACTCTTTATTCCCCTGATGCTGGCTCCTACAGTGGTCAGGCCCAGGCCCTGTGACCCCAGCAGGAACTTTCAGGGAGTACTCATCTGCTAATTAGTACATGCATGCCGATGAGTAGTGGACTGCAAAGGGGGCAAAGCAAGGAGGAGGAAATGGCTGTGGCCAGGAAGCCACATGTTGCAGGAGAGAGGAAGGAAGCAGAGGGATTAAAATAATACCTGGAAGAGACCAAGAGCCCCACCCCCTTCCTCACATCATTGATAATAGATGGAATAAACAGAGTCACAGAATACCTTTCTGATCCATCCGAAAGGTGCTGCCGTCTATCTCAACATTATGTTGAGATATGTTGCATTCTGGTATTTCTTTGCATGCAGCACTGGCACCCTTGTCCTCTCTACGCAGCAGTTCATGCTGGGGAAGATTTTGAATGGACTTAACAACCTCCCCAAAATTCTAGCTTCTCTATACTGTTAGATTTGGCCTCCTTACAGCTTGATCCTTTTCCTGCTATTCAGTTTCCAGTGATGCCTCCAGCATCTTGGTCTCTTTGACATTTTCTCTGAAAGTTTCTGCTGGGCCCAGACTTTGTGGCAGGATGAGGAAGCCATAGGAGAAAGAGATCTGTAACACAGAAACCACCCATCACCCACGGAATGTTTGTGTGCCAAAACATGGAAGGTTATTCGTTCAAGGGTGACTAAAGAAAAACATGCCTGTTCTGCTCTTGTTCTTGTCGCAGATGGCTTGGATTCTTCCACAGTCTGCATTGGAAAATTACAGGAGATATTTTAAGGTCTTTCAAAGGTTTCTTCCGAGGTGATATATGTGATTTTGCTTAAAGAATCATGCAATTACTTTTTTTTTTAATACCATGTTTATTCAAAGTTTAAGGCCAACCCAATAGTTCACACGCTGTCAAAATCTACATTATATTTGAATCAAGTAACCCACTTGTTTCCCACTATTAGCTTGTTAACTTGTTTTCTCACTATTTTAAATTGGCCAGGCATTTTAAACAGAACAAAGTGGATTTTAAGTTAACATTTCCAATAGTTTGAGGCAAGATAGGCTCTCTTCTTTGGTCTGGCTGGGACCTGTTGTTATTTGGCTCATACCTTTCCAGATTTGGCTCCATCAGTGTCACTCCACATGACTGCATCTTAGAGAGAGTCAAGTACAACCTGTAACAAAATCTTGCAGTACAAGAGTGTTCCTGCTGAGGGTGCCAGCCAGCCCTCTTCCAGGATGCTCCATTCCATTTCCCTTCCCCTTCCCTTCCTTTTTTTCATTCCCCTACAATGCTTTGCCAGCTTTCTGTGCATACAGAGATGCTCAATCCTTGTTAGTTAGTTTTAGGTTTCCCCTGATATAGTTTTTGTTCCTCTCTAGTTTTTCTTTGATAGTTTTGAAAAACCAGTCCCTGCAAAACTTGGATGTAGATGGTTCTGCTTTGGACACACAGTTGTTCATACTTGGTAAATGAGTTTGCAGTTAGATTTTAGGAAGATGCAGGGAGGTCTTCTCTGTGAATTCCATCTGTCCATTTGGTTTGCTCCACCCAGAAGGATCTCCATTGGCATCAGCCCATCTGATACTACATTTTGGGAGCTGATGGCCCAGCAAGGCACCCGCCATATGCTCAGCTGCAATCTTCTGCCATTTGCCTCTTTCATTCCATCAACAGCCATTCTGCCTAGTTATCACTTAGTGACTGGAAAGTGTTGGTACCTGAGTTTGCTTATGTTCCTCTTCTTTTCCATTTTAACCCTTTTATATCATGTCTGTTAAGCTTACATTCCTATGAAATGTTAAGTTGCTAAGTTCATTACAATAAATAACACATATGTAAAAAGTAAAGATATTGCAGTTTGTTCACACTTAAGAATTCACTGCCAAGAATCAGGCAATGCTAGTAAATCTTTGCCCCGTGCAGATACTTGGTCTGTTCACATGGGGTCTAAAAGGATGGTGGGGCAAAGCAATGCGTACAAACCTGGTCCCCAGTGTTGCCTTGCCCACCCACTCAGTACTTGCCTGCCTCATGTCTGCCCTTGTACCCTTGAATTTGAGTCTCTGCAAGTTCAGGAGCCCCGGGTTCAAAGAGCGCATGGAACAGCCCCCTCAGACTTTCCATCTGAACATGGGGCAAGCCAGGAATTGCCAAGGGGGCTATTATATTGCTCAGAATGGGGCTTGTGTATATGTCTGTGCCCTCCTGCTTCCACTTAGCTCCCTCATGAGTAGGCTGCATGTCCACACAGGGCTAATACCCCTCACATTTTTTCAAGCATGACCTTTTCTTAGGGTTTGTGGAAAGGGAAAGCCTGATGAGCAAAGAT